ACAGGCCAGAGCTTCCTCTTACAACAGAGCTCCCTTAGTTCCTCCCCTCTCTTGCCATGGGGTCTAAGGAAGAGCATTTAAATAACTTACATGCCTACAACAAATCCTCAGCTGAAACATATTATAAAGCACTTACTGCAAAACCACTTGAAAAATACATGTCACTTATGTTTTGCCATAAAACCATAATATTATGACTACCTTTGCTGCATGTTATAAACAGGTATTAGTGACCAAATGCTTGCTTCCCCTAGCCTCCTAATAACTGTTTGTTTGATCTCTACTTAAACGTACTACAATGCTTTTTTCCAATGAAAACACATACTTGTAAACTTAAATTTGTCGCAATAGACTGCGAAGCGTATGGGTGTACAGGGGTCTCAAAAGTTGACATAGAAAGGTGTTGGAGTGAGGGGTGCTGATGAAGTCCTTGGGGTGTTGTTGAAGAGATGGAAGGACTGAAAGGATTCATAGAGAAAGTGTCCTAGATCCAGGGAGGATTTTAAGGGAAAGCAGTCGCCGTGTGTCTTCCAACTCCAGGTCTGGCAGGCTTTTCACGCGTCAGAACTCACTTTCAGTAGCTTTAACGTGTTTGTCATCAGCCCGCTGTGGTTAAGGCTGGCAAGGTGTTGTGTCCAGGGTCTCTTGACACAGGAAGGTCTCACTGCTGTGCTGGCCCATACCTGCTGGGAAACACTATGCCACTCTTCTGAGGACACTGCATGAGTTTACTTCTTATGGTATTCAGAACACACAAAAATATATAGTCTCCCGTGAATTATAACAGATGACGTCATCAACTGCTTGGACTTGTCAATTTCATTGAACAGGCTAAGCCACTTAAACCACTCAAATTGAAATGCATATTTATATGTTTGGAGTTAAGGGCAACCTAGAAACTGAAATTTGTTCAAACATTTATTTAATAGAGTCTTTTGGAACATGTTTATTTCCCTTACAAAGGAAACAGAAGAAACGTGTATTACAGCAATACCTCCCTCTCTGTCTCCATGAGAACACGTTTCTACACGCATGTTAACAGTAAATCTGGCTCTCTCATCTGTGAAGAACTGTTCTCCAAATGCCCAGTGCACCTCAGAGTACAATTTAAAAACACATACTTTAGCAAAAATTTGATTTGACTCAAATGGATTATTAAAACTCAGAAAAGAATTTGACTCAAATACCTATAAACTAGGCGGTTTTTACAACTAGACCTTAAAGGCATTATTGGGTCATCCCAATATCAAAGTGTATATCAAAGGGACCTTTAGGGATGGTAAAACGTAACTATTATTTCTCTTAACATAGGACTAGTCCATGAAATAACAAAATTCTCTTAACATAGGAGTGGACCATGAAATAATAAAATTCAGTTTCAACTTACTACCAGGTATCAAAGCATAATTTAAGCAGGAATTAATTTTTTTTGCACTCATATGTAAGTCCATTTTTAGCTTTAAATAAATGCAAAAAATCCTCATTAAAAAGATTTTAGATACAAGAATTCAAAGTTTATCAACTCAAGCTCATAATTTTTAAATTCTCTCAAATAAAATATTTAATGCAGAATCTATGATCTTGCATGCTTAGTTGATCTTCATACATTTTTAAAGTTTCGTAAGAATTTTTATTTTCTAGAATAGTGCACATTCATAGAGCATCTTTATAATTAAAGGTTGTCATTAATCTTTTTCTACAAAAATAGTTGCTTAAAAATTTATACCAATTTGCTTTTATTTTCTATAAATATGTTAACAAAGTTGTTGAGTATCAGAATGCCGAATAGAATCATTTAAATTAATTCATGTAGCCAAAATACTAAAATTTCTAGCAAAAGTTCGTCGTTTATAAATGAAAAGTTCATCATTTAACAAGTGACATGTTCTGTCATTAACTATTTGTACCTTACATAGGTGGATACAATCAGAGAAAAGCAAAGTATACAGCTCCTGTAAAGATCTGACTTCAAATAGCACTGCAGTTTGTATTATCTTTTCCATTTATGTCTGTTGTGATGAGGAAATATGTAGAATCAACTTTTGGATATTGAATCTGGATGTTGAATTAGATGTCACACAGCCAGCATAAAATATGGCTTGTTTACTAAGAGAATAACAAATATTAGATCAAAACTTTGATATTCGAAATGCACTTATTTTGTGAGCGACTATCCCAATGAAAGGTAATGTCAATGAAAGTAAAAATAAAGTTTAAACATGACACAGCAAGTATAAAAACTAAAACTGCTATATGTAGGTCCAATACAGTTTTTATATTATCTTCATTTTGATTATGAGTTTAAAATACGTTTTCAGAACAATAGAAATATCACGTCAAAAGTATTTATCCTAAGATTTATGTCTTTCCAAAGGAATGAATGTCCAAAATAGTTTTATAATATAAATGGTTTCCTTTTAAAAAGCCATTATTCTTGCAAAAGAGCAAGAACAAGATAAAATCACTTGCTTTCCTACCCTGTCTAACCAACAAATACATATTCAAGTGCCTATGATGTGGAAGGCACTAAATTTAGTAATAAATTATTGATGTAGTATTAGTAGCTTAAAGAACAAATGACTATATTTCATATTACTTTAAGACTTTCAAAAAGAAGTGTACCTGTATAAGCCAATCAATCACATTTTATCATTTACTTAGACTGAGATTTCAATTCTTTTCTTTAAATGTTCTAAGCTCTATCTGCACTGGAAAATCAAATCAAATAAAAAGTCTTGATTATATTAGGCCAGCCTCCCTTCCTCATCATAACATGAACAAGTGAGTTAAACATTCTCCTTCAAATTGAGAAACTGAATGGATTAGATCTTTTGGGTTGGGTTCAATTAAGTTTAAGTATTCACCACTGTTGAATTAATTCTTTTTTTCTTAGGTAAGAATAATTATTACAGTCAAGTACTTGAGAAAAATAAAGGCAATAATAGCTAAATATATGATTCTATGTTTGGGTTGCAAGAACCAAAGCAAAAGCAAATATGCACACACACATACATACACACAAACAAAAACAAAACAAAGCAAAAAAGAGTTACTAGGCACTTACATTAGCATAAGACAATAATACTGATAATCAGAATACCTGTGATTAAATTATCTTAAGCTAATTAAGCACATATGGGTGTAAACTGAATAAAACACAAACACTGATGTTTTTGTATGTTCGGTCTCATTAAGAAGGGACCTACCTTAGAAGCATGAGAAATCCACATTGTGTAAGACTTTAGTACTAATCATGTTAGTTTCTGAAATCGGGAGATTTTGCAAATAGAAATGCAGTCGATTCTCATTAATCACAACAGTTACATTCTGTGAAGTCACTGCAAACAGTGAATTAGTGAATACTAAATCATTGCTCCTAGAGGAATACAGGGTTAGTTTCCTGCAAGCCTCTGGTCATAACATTGTCTCAACTTATCAATACCTAACCTTGTTTTATGTGTGCTTCTGCCTAAAGACACATTAATATATTTTGTTGATTTATTAACATTTAACTAATAGCCAATAGCACTATAACTCATCCCTAAATGAAGCTTATCTAACACAATTATTTTCTCCTTAAGGCACATCATAGCCTTCTTGAGCTTAGAAACACTGGATAGCATTTCAGCTCTATGCTCAGGGGCCATTTTAAACAACAAAATCACCAAGAAAAAAACACAGAAATGCAAAAAAGAAACAAAAAAAAAAAAAAAAAAAAACATGGCAAAAGACTGTAAAGAAGGACACTTGTTTATTCTATGAGAGTTGAAACAAGAACGCAGAGGCCACAGCTGGGAATATGCATGATAGGCAATTCAAATTTTTTGCCACTGCGCATGTCAGTGAATAACTATGAAAGCGCGGCAATTATTGATTTTGGAGTTAAAAAAAAGTTGCTGTGGCGTCATCTCCAACTGACTGCAACCAACTGTGGATGTGTCAGAGTAGAACTGTGCTCCATAGGGTTTTCAATGGCTGATTTTTTGGAAGTAGACAGCCAGGACTTTCTTTTGTGGTGCCTCTGGGTGGACCTGAACCACCAACCTTTCGGTTAGCAGTCAAGGGCATTAACTGTTTGCACTACCCAGGGACTCTGATTTTGGGGTTACAAATAAATTTTAGCAAGTAGATGAACTCATGAATATAAAATCTGCGAAAATGAGGATTGACTGCAATATATTTTTTATAGAAAAAGTGCAAGGGAGGTAGCTAGGGACAGCAGTGTTAAAGCTTTTTTCTTAATGATTCCTCCTGTTAGCCTAAATGGTGATGTATCAACATGCATTCTGAGAAGTCATTCACCTGTTAAAGAGATTTATAGGATCGGTCTTAAGCCTTACTACATAATCAAAAGGCAATAATTTGACAAAATGCTAAAAAAAGAAATAAGAAAGTGGCATCTGAAAAAAAAAAATCTTAAAATACAGGAAGTGTTTATCATGAATAAGCAAAGTAAATATTCCCAAAATGAGTAAAATACATCATCATTAATAGATGATTGCATATCTGAAATGAAAAATACATTACTTCTAATAGCCTAAGAAAAATAACAATTCAACAATTTAGAAATCAAACTCTACACTGGTATCGACAGTCTTGGTAAGAAAGGAGTGCAGTAGAACAAAATGTTAAGAGCTATTTATAGATTTAAAAGCAGTTTCCATTCCTTCAACAAAATTAATGACATAAAACCAAGTGCACTGAATTATCATAGTCATCTTTTCAGAGAAAAATACCAGTGCAGGTTAACAGGTTTCTGAAAAGATTCACCACTATATTTATAAATTTTAATTTAAACTTACAAAGTAGAAGAAAGGCAGAAAAGAAATCTTGGAATAAAAAGTAAATTTTAGTTTTTCTTCTCTAAAGTTAAAAAAAAAAAAAGACACTGAAACCCTGAATAACACTTATAATTAATAAACACAAGAACATGCCAAGAATTCATCCTATCAGCAGATATAAATGCCGTTGTAATGAAGTTTGCTTATCAATATCCCACTTTTTAGTCAAGTTTTCCGTTTTGAAGATGACTTCTGGCTTTCTCTTGTCTGATTAGAGAGATGACTTTGATGCACCCCCTTGTAATTTTGATCATCCACATTACATTCATTATATCTAAAACCACACAACTACCGATCCAGGAACACTGCCTTAACAATCCAAGCCTGACGTAGGGTTCCGTTCCATACACAGAACACACGAAGTGATAAAAAGGAGGTATCACAACAATCCGTACGATGAAAAACACCACTGTCATGAGTACTCCATTGATGACGTTAGCTTTGGAAAACTTTGGATACTTCAGAGTTTCAAAGAACCATCTGGAAAAAAATTAAACACTGTATTCATTCTGCATCTCTGAGGATTAATAATTTAAATTTTAGTTTTTAAAATTCAGTGAACATCCCCCTGTGATCAGAAACTTGGCAAGGATGTCCTGTCTCACTAATTCTATTCAATATTGGACTTGAAGTCCTCGCTAGTGCAATAAGACAAGAAAAAGAAATAAAAGGTATATAGATTGAGAAGGAAGAAATAATACCATCTACATTTGCAGATGACATAATTGTATATGTGGAAACTGGAAAGAACCTACAAAACAGTAATAATAATATCCTGTAACTAACAGAAAGTATAGCAAGATTGCAGGATACAAAGTCAATACAGAAAAGTCGACTGCTTTCTTATACACAAGCAGTGAGCTTAGAAGTTGAAATTTAAAAAAATATCATTTACAACAACACCAAAAAATAATATACTCAGGTATAAATTTAATAAATTATATACAGGATCTACAATGCAAAAAACCATAAACACTGATGAAAAATCAAAGAAAGTCTAAATATACAAACAACAGATAAACGTTTTCATGGATTTGAAAAGTCAGTATTGTTAAAAAATGTCAATTCTCCTCAACTAGATCTACAGATTCAATGCAATCCCAAACAAAATCCCAGCAATATTTTTTTTAACATATTAAAAAAAACTGATTCTAAAATTTACATGGAAAGGCAAAGGACCCAGAAGAGCCAACACAATACTGGAAAAGAACAAAATTCTACCCACTTCCAAGACCTACTATAAAACTATTTTAATCAAGACAGCGTGGTAGTGGAGAAAGAACAGACAAATAGATCAGTGGAAATGAACAGTCTAGAAACAGACCCACACAATTATACTCAACTGATTTTTGACAAAGGAGTAAAGGCAATACAATGGAGAAAGATCAATCTAGTACTCTTTTTAATAAACAGTGCTAGAGAAATTGGATGTCCTTATGCAAAAAAGAAAAAAGAAAAAAAAAAAGAAAAAAGCAAGGTTGTGTCATCTACATAACAAAAACGAACCAAGGCATTGTTATGCTTCAGCCCATTGTTGTAGCCACTACCTCAATCCATCTCATTGAAGGTCTTTCTCTTTGTCGTTGACCTTCTACTTTACTAAGCATGATGTCCTTTTCCAGGGACTGATCCCTCCTGATAACATGCCCAAAGTATGCAAGACGTCGTCTTGCCATCCTTGCTTCTAAGGAGCATCCTGGTTGTACGTCTTCCAAGACAGATTTGTTTATTCTTTTGGCAGTCCATAGTATATTCAATATTCTTCCCCAAGACCATAATTCAAAGGCATCAATTCTTCTTCAGTCTTTCCCAGCTTTTGCATGCATATGAGGCAACTGAAAACACCATGGCTTTGGTCAGGCACACTTTAGTCCTTAAAGCGACATCTTTACTTTTTAACATTTGAAAGAGGTCTTTTGCAGCAGATTTGCCCAATGTAATGCGTCTTTTGATTTCTTGACTGCTGTTTCCATAGGTGTTGATTGTGGATCCAAGTAAAATGAAATCCTTGACAACATCAATCTTTTCTCTGTTTATCTTGATGTTGCTTGTTGGTCCAGTTGTGAGGATTTTTGTTTTCTTTATGTTAAGGTGTAATCCATACTGAAGGCTGTGGTCTTTCATTTTCATTAGTAAGCGCTTCAAGTCCTCTTCACTTTCAACAAGCAAGGCTGTGTCATCTGCATAACAGAGGTTGTTAATGCATCTTCTTCTGATCTTGATAGAGTCCAGCTTCTCAGATTATTTGCTCAGTATACAGATTGAACAGGTATGGTGAAAGGATACAACCCTGACACACACCTTTCCTGACTTTAAACCATGCAGTATCCCCTTGTTCGGTTCGAAGGACTGCCTTTTGATCTGTGTACAGGTTCCTCATGAGCACAATTAAGTGTTCTGAAATTCCCATTCTTCGCAATGCCATCCACAATTTGTTATGATCCACATAGTCATATGTATTTGCACAGTCAATAAAACACAGGTAAACATCTTTCTGGTATTCTCTGCTTTCAGCCAGGATCCATCCGACATCAGCAATAATATCCCTGGTTTCATGTCCTCTTCTGAATCCGGCTTGAATTTCTGGCAGTTCCTGTCGATACACTGCTGCAGCTGCTTTTGAATGATCTTCAGCAAAATTTTACTTGTATGTGATATTAATGATATTGTTTGATAACTTCTGCATTCTGTTGCATTGTCTTTCTTGGCAACAGGCATAAATATGGATCTCTTCCAGTCGGTTGTCCAGGTAGCTATCTTCCAAATTTCTTGGCATAGATGAGTGAGTACTTCCAGTGCTGCATCCGTTTGTTGAAACATCTCAACTGATATTCCATCAATCCCTGAAGCCTTGTTTTTCACCAATGCCTTCAGTGCGGGTTGGACTTCTTCCTTCAGTACCATCGGTTCCTGATCATATGCTACGTCCTGAAATGGTTGAGTGTCGATCAATTCTTTTTGGTATAATGGCTCTGTGTATTCCTTCCATCTTCCTTTGATGCTTCCTGCATTATTTAATATTCTTCCTATAGAATCCTTCAGTACTGCAACTTGAGGCTTGAATTTTTTCTTCAGTTCTTTCAGCTTGAGAAATGCTGAGCCTGTTCTTCCTTTTTGGTTTTCTATCTCCAGCTCTTTGCACATGTCATTATAATACTTTACTTTGTCTTCTCAAGCCACCCTTTGAAATCTTCTGTTCAGTTCTTTTACTTCATTTCTTCCTTTCGCTTTAGCTACTTGATGTTCAAGGGCAAGTTTTAGAGTCTCTTCTGACATTCATTTTGGTCTTTTCTTTCTTTCCTGTCTTTTTAATAACCTCTTGCTTTCTTCAAGTATGATGTCCTTGATGTCATTCCACAAGTGGTCTGGTCTTCGGTCATTAGTGTTCAATGCGTCAAATCTATTCTTGAGATAGTCTCTAAATTCAGGTGGGATATACTCAAGGTTGTACTTTGGCTCTCATGGAATTACTCTAATTTTCTTCAATTTCAACTTGAACTTGAATATTAGCAATTGATGGTCTGTTCTGCAGTCGGCACCTGGCCTTGTTCTGACTGATGATATTGAGCTTTTCCATTGCCTCTTTCCACAGATGTAGTCGATTTGATTCCTGTATATTTCATCTGTTGAGGTCCACGTATATAGTTGCTGTTTGTTGGTGAAAAAAGGTATTTACAATGAAGAAGTCATTGTTCTCGCAAAATTCTATCATGCTATCTCTGGCGTCATTTCTATCACCAAGGCCATATTTTCTAACTACCAATCCTTCTTTGTTTTCAGTTTTCACATTCCAGTCACCAGTAATTATCAGTGCATCCTGATTGCACGTTCAATCAATTTCAGACTGCAGAAGCTGGTAAAAATATTCAATTTCTTCATCTTTGGCCTTAGTGGTTGGTGCGTAAATTTGAATAACAGTCGTATTAACCGGTCTTCCTTGTAGGCATATGGATATTATCCTATCACTGACAGTGTGTACTTCAGGATAGATCTTGAAATGTTCTTTTTGACGATGAATGCAATGCCATTCCTCTTCAAGTTATCACTCCCGGCATAGTCTGTCAATTTGTCGTACTGTGGGGGCTTTCACATCGCGGTGATGCAGGAAGCTATGCCACCGATATTCAGATACAAGCTGGGTTACCCATGGTGGAGAGGTTTCAGCTGAGCTTCCAGACTAAGACAGACAAACAAAAAGGACACGGCAGTCTACTTTTGAAAAGAATTAGCCAGTGAAAACCTTATGAATAGCAGCGGAACATTGTCTGATATAGTGCCGGAAGATGAGCCCCCCAGGTTGGAAGGTACTCGAAAGACAACTGGGGAAGAGCTGCATCATTAAAGTGGAGTTGGCCTTAATGATGTGGATGGAGTCAAGCTTCCGGGACCTTCATTTGGTGATGTGGCACGACTCAAAATGAGAAGAAATAGCTGCATACATCCATTAATAACTGGAATGCAGAATGTACGAAGTATGATTTCAGGAAAATTGGAAATTGTCAAAAATGAAATGGAACATATAAACATCTATATCCTAGGCATTAGTGAGCTGAAATGGACTGGTATTGGCCATTCTGAATCGGACAAACACTTGGTCTACTATGCTGGGAATGACAACAACAGGGACAATATGTAGGTGGAAAATAAGCACATGAAAAGATGCTCAGCACTCCTTGAGATATCGCCTTGAAATACGCTTTAAACCTTGAACCAAAACTATCCCAAGGTCACCTTTTAGTGAAATAACAGATTGGCACACGAAATCTATTACCCTTGAGTATCGGGCTCCATTAAAAAAAAATCTATATGAGAACAAAAGGTGAACAATTACTCTAAAGCAAAGATGAAAAGACAAGGGGTCAGGGAAACTAGAGTACTGGAAACAGAACAACTAGAACACAATTAATGAAAAGGTTGACACACTGTGAAAAATGTAACTGTTACTGAAAACTTGTGTAGAAATTGTCAGATGGGAACCTAATTTGCTATGGAAACTTTTACTGAAAACACAATAGAATATTAAAAAAAAGATGCTCAATATCATTTATCATTATAAGGAAATGCAAATTAAAACAACAACGAGATACCACTATGAACCTATTTGAATGGCTAAAATCCAAAAAAACTGAGAATATCAACTGCTAATCAGGACATGGAGCAACAGGAATGCTCATTCATTGCTGGTGGGAATGCAAAATGGTACAGTCACTTTAGAAGACAGTTTGGCAGTTATAAAGTTAAACATATTCATATCATACACTCCACCAATCATGAACCTAGTTATTTTTCCAACTAAACTGAAAACATATCCACACAAAAACCTTCATGCAAATGTGTATAGACATGTTTAACTCATAATTACTATAAACTGGAAGCAACCAATATTTCTTTCAATAGGTGAATGGAGGAACAAACTGGGGTACATCCATAAAATGGAATATTATTCAGTAATAAAAAGAAATGAATTCCCAAGCCATGAA